GCCCCTCGGGGCGCGTGGATCCAGTCGATCCGGGTTCCCCAGTCGTCGCAGAAGGTGCCGAAGTCGAGCCAGGTCCGCGAGAGTTGCTGCAGGACTTGGACAAGGCGCCCGATTGGCCCTCCTCCTCAGATGGTCTGGACATAGTATCTGAGTTCGGCAGCCTGATGACAATCATTTCAGGGTCGCGGCGGGCCTGTTGTCGGACCGGACCGCGAGGGTGATTTCCTTTTGGGTTAAAGCGTCAAGTTCGACAGCGTGGCCTCGGATGCACGCTGCCAGTAGGGTCCCGTCTTGGGGCCGTCTTGGGGGCCTCTTGAGCCGTTCTCGGGCCATCTTGTAGGCCTCTTGGGCGATCTTGGTGCAATCTTTGGGGGCTGTTGGGCCGTGGCGGGCCGTCGGAAGGCCGAAAAGAAGCAAATGCCAACATCCTTCAAAAACCGACGGAAAATCAATGATTTGTGCCTCTTCTGGCCTTCCTGGAGGTCCTCTTGGAGGCCTCTTGGGCCGTCTTGGAGACCTCTTGGGGGCGTCTCGGAGCGCCTTGGGTCATCCTGGAGCCAGCTTGGGCCGTCTTGCCGGCTTCTTGGGCGGGCTTAGAGGTACTGGTGCTAGTATTTTGGACCCTCTTGGGACGTTTTGGAGGCCATCTTGGACCTTCTTGGGCGAACTTGGGAGCCATCTTGGGCGTCTTGGAGGCCATCTTGAGCCGTCTTGGAGACTTGTTTGTGCACGTTGTGCTCGCTGCCGGTCTCTTCCGGATGGCTGGCGGGACGGGCCGAAGCCCCAGGGAAGAGTTCTTTTGGAAAAAGAGCCGAAACCAAATTGTAAGAAGTTCAGCACGCCAGGCACCCCTGTGATAAATCAACAGGGGCCGGCGGATATAGTGGCCTACGGCCGAACACGCCACCGTTCAGGCGATCGCAAACATGGATCCAGGGAGCGTGGGCTAGCGACGGGTCCCGTTTCCATGGGAAATCGCGGATTTCCTCCGCCGAACGTTGCGGCACAGGCCGAATCTTGGGGAGGGTACCTCCCCCGATCCATGGATTTGGCGACCGCGCGCCAAATCAATGGATCGCTAATTCACGTTTGCGCGCCCCCGAACCGTGCTTGGGTCGTGAGTCGCAGGCCTGTTCGATGTACATGAGGGTCTCGTGGCATGCGTCTCGGAAGTTCCTGAGAGGCCTCTTGGGTGCTTCGAGTGGTGATACAGTGGAGGCCCATGCCAAGAAACACCCTGCTGGCCTCCAGGGTGCCCTGGGTTTCTTCGGTTTCAATGGTTTTGCGATGGAATGCGTTACGTTCCCACGCCAAAATGTAATGGGCGTCCTGGGGTTCCACGGTTGGGTTTCTTTGGAAGGTTTCTTGTGGTCGGGCCTTCACTGTACTTGAGGCATCTCGTGGGCTGTGTCGTGGATTGTTTCGTGTGAAGTGTTTCGTGGGTTGTTTCGTCTTATGTCTTGTGGGATGTGTCGCGGACTGTTTCGTGATCGTGGAGTGGTTCGTGGAGTTTTTTGTGGGGTGTTTCATGCGTGTTTTTCGCGGCGTGTTTCGTGGGGTATTGCGTCATTTTTGTTCGTGGGGTTTTCGTTGGGTGTTTCGTTGGGTGTTTCGTGAGTTGTTTCGTGGGGTGGTTCATGGGGTGTTTAGTCGCATAATCCGTAGGGTGTTTATGAGACGTTTCACGCAGCGTTTCGCGTTGTGTTTCGTGGGGTGTTTCGCATAATGTTTCGCGGGGTGTTTGGTGGCGTATTTCGTCAGGTTCTACGTGAGGTGTATCCTGGGGTGTTTGCGGTGTTTCGCCGGGTATTTCATGTGGCGTTTCGTGGAATGTTTCGGCGGCTGTTTCGTGGTGTGTTTCGTGGGGCCGTTCGCAGAGTGTTTCGTGAGGCGTTTGGTGGCGTATTTCTTGAGATGTTTTGTGGGATGATTCGCGGGGTGTCCATTGGGGTGTTTCGCGAGGTGTTTCATGTAGAGTTGCATGGGGGTGCTGAGACCTGGAGTTCTTTTGTGGCCCCTTTTGGAGCTCTTGGAGGCCTCTTAGAGCCTGTTGGAAGCCTCTTGGGGGCACGTTGAGGATCGTGGGTGCCATCGTACGGGGAACAGCTCGACAAGTCCGTGCCCCCCCTCCCGGAGGCCACTCGGGGAGCCCTCGTGAGAGCATCTCGGACCGTCTTGGGGGCCTCTTTGGTCGTCTTGGAGCCCTCTTCGGTCGACTTGGAGTGCTCTTGGAAGCCTCTCGGGCCGTCTTGGGGCGTTTTAGGGCACCTCTTGGGCCGCCTTGGAGTGTTGGAAGCTGAGAGAACGCGAGAAGGCTAGAGTCCTTCAAAAACCGACAGAACACAATGGATTTCGGCTTCCTGGGGCCCTCTGGGGGGTCCTCTTGGAGCGCTCATGTGGTCTCTTGGGGGCCTCTTGGGCAGTCTTGGAGCCATCCGGGCGTCTTGGACCGCTCTTTGGTCGTCTTGGAGGCTCCTTGGACCCTCTAAGGCGCTTGTTGGGACCCTCTCAGCTCGTCTTGGGGCTTTTTAGACGCTGGGAAATCCATGCGACCGACCCCAAGATCACCCAATAGCGCCTGGAAGATTTGGAAATTTTGACCCCCAGCCTTTATGATATGATGTTATCCCCGTACTGAATACAGAGTACTGCGGACCCACCCGGGCCTGAGGACATCTGAGGACACTCCGCTTCGTGCCTCGAGGCGCGGTGGCGGATACGAGCAAGAGCGAGAGATGGACTGAACCTGGGAGAGAGAGAGAAGAGGGGGGACATACATATAATATACATACAGATATGTACACATAGATGTCGAGAGAGAGAGAGAGCGAGGCAACGACACATGTGTGTACATATACATATACACACATGTATGATGTGATGTGTATATATGTCTATACATATAGCAACAAAACAACAAGCAACAGCCAACAAGAAAACAAAGCAGTATAACAAGTGGTAGAAGCAAAGAGTTAGGGTGGGAGCGGAATAAGGGAGAGCGGGGAATGTAGAAGGGGCAGAAGCCAAACAACGGAGCGAGTTTGGCGGGGCCACGTGGGCGACAGCGGCGTGGTTCAGCGGCGTCTGCATCGGCCTGCGCCAGCGGCGGCGGCAGTAGCAGCAGCACGAGCACAGGGAAGGCGACAGGGGAAGCAGGCAGGTGCCTGCGTTCCCCAGGCAGTGCTTGCGCCCAGGGGTTCACACATGTTCCCTCTTCCGAGGAACGGGGCCCCGCTCCCGTCCCTCGCCGCACCACTTTTCCCTGCAGGAGGCCCGTTTGCGGGCCCGGCGGCCCCGCTCCCGGCCGCCGCCGCCGCACCACTGCACCCCCCCGTGCTGCATTGCAATGGCATGGAGGTGCAATCGCATTGCATCGTTTTGCATTGCATTGCGCTGCGTTGCATTGCGATCGCGTTGGAGCGTATTGCCTTGCATTGCTTTGCATTGGGTTGCATCGCAATTGCCTCGCTTCGCATTGCTTTGCCTTGCATTGCTTTGCGTTGCTTTGCATTGCGTTGCATTGCGATGCATTGCTTTGAATTGGGTTGCATTGCGTGGTGTTGCTTCTGATTGATTTGCATGGCTATGCATGGGTTTGCATTGCATTGCGTTGCGTTGCATTTCTTTGCATAGTTGCGTGATGCTTTGCATTGCCTTGCCTTGCATTGCCTTGCATTGCCTTGCATTGCGTTGCGTTGCTTTGCATTTCTTTGCGTTGCTTTGCGCCGACCATATTGCACCACGTTGATTGCACCACGACCTAGACTGTACCACATTAATTGCAGCACCAAGATTGCACCGCGTAGATTTGCAAGAAAGCGCTGTACGGGCTGGCGAACATAATCGTTCGGGGAGGAGGACGGGGAGGACGAGCATCAACTGGCAAAAGTTCGGATAGGGACAGGGAGGACAGGGAGTGGGATCAGGACAGGGAGGAGGAGGAGGACAGGGAGGACGAGGACAGGGAGGATGAAGACAGGAGAATGAAGACGGGAGTGCAGCCAAAGGTTCGGCTGAGAACAGGCTGATAATCATGTGGGGAAGAGGAGAAACAACAGCTGCTTGGTGGAATTGTTGATTATCGATTGGCCTTCGGCCCATCCCGCCACTACGCCTGGGTGGTGGGTCAGAGGCCTCATGAATGTTGGTTGGGCTCTCGTGGTTGGCCTCTTGGGGGCCGTGTTGGGGTCTCTTGGGGCCTCTTGTGGGCCTCTTGGGGCTTCTTAGGCTGCCTCTCGGGGGCCCCTTGGGGCTTCTTGGGGCTCTCTTGGGGCCTCCTGGGGGCCTCTTGGGACTACATGCTAGACTTTTCGGTTCCTGGCCCCCTTTTTTGGCCTCTCTTGGGGCCGTTCGGGGGCCCTCTTGGGCCGTTTTGGGCGCCTCTTGGGCCGTCTTGGGGCCATCTTGGGCCGTCTTGGGGCCTTCTTGGGCTCTCGTGGGCCCATCTTTGGGGCGTGTTGGGCCGTCTGAGGACGATGTTGGAGGCCTCTGAGGCACTTCTGGACGCTGTGAATCCCCAAACGTCGCACATGCGAAACATGTACGTTTTCTGAAGGGAATGGGACGATTGTTCTTGTTGAGGCCCTCTTGGAGTGCCTCTTGAGGCTCTCTTGGGGCTTTTTCGCGTCCTCCGGGGCCATCTGGAGACCATCTTGAGAGTCTTGGAGCAATCTTTCGGCGACTCGGGGTCTCTTGGGCCGTGTAGGGGGCGTCCTGGCGCCCCACTTGGCGCGCTCTTGGAGCGCCCTGGGGGAGTCAGCCGGGCATCGCCCGGGCATCGACCCGGCAGCCGGCATCGGCCAGGGTGCTTTTCGTCCCAGGGTCCCCAGGGGCCGCCACGCGCGCGCGAACTAGAACCATTGCTGACCTGTTGCTGGAGATCTCAGCACGCCTCCGGCCCGTTGGGCCAGCGAGTTATCATCACTGGGTAAGAGGAGGACGATGAGGATGAAATGGTAGGACGGTGTCAGCTGGTCGTTGTCTTCCGTGGCCTCGCCGAGGATATGGTCACGGGGCAAATCCTCGTTTCTTCGGACGAGCCTGTCTGCAGCGAGACCTGGAAGCACAAATTCTGCGTGTCGACCGCCCAGCGCGCGAGGGCCTAGCACAGGGGAGAGGGAGGACGGCAGCTTGTCGAGACCACCCCGGGCTGCCTCCCTAGGCCAGGCGGGATCACCTTCGGGGGCTGTTTGTGCGCAGCGTCCCAGGCCATTACGCTCGTCCTCGTCTCCTCCTTCTCATTATGCTCCTTTTCTTATGCTTCTTCTCCTGCTGCTGCCTCTCCTCCTCCTCCTCCTCCTTCTCCTTCTCCTCCTCCTCCTCCTCCTCCTCCTCCTCCTCTTCCTCCTCCTCTTGAGACCCTGAGACCATGGTGGCGAGACAGACGTCCGGCGTAGCCATCCCCCTCCTCCAGCTCATCCTCCTTCTCCTTCTCCTTATCTCCTCCTCCTCCTCTTCCTCCTCCTCCTCCTCGTAACCATCTTGGCTCAAGATGACTCCTCCTCCTCGTAACCATCTTGGCTCAAGATGATTCAATCCCGTGGCGGCGCGCGGAGACCGTCAGTCCAGGGACAGTTCTGAACCGACTTCTGCCACACCGTGCCCGCGGTGCTGGCCTCCGTATCACTTCGTGTTCACGTGCTGATATTTTCGTTCGTGGCTGGCACGGGGCACAGCTTTCTGTGATGGGAGATGACGCCAGCAAGCGATCTGCTGCCACACCAGTCGCTGCTGCCAAAGGATCTGTCGGCAAAAGAGCAAATCCGTGGGCAGAGTCGGTCGCCAAGCTCGGAGCTGAAACCCGGCCCTACCAGCACACGTTCGAAAACAAGTCGGAGGAAGCCCTTGCAGCTCAAGTTCGAGACGCCGCCAGCCAGCTCGAGGGTACCGCGAAGAGCGTCAAAGAGGCTGCCAGCGCCAATTTCACTTCGTGGAATCAATCGCAGCTGTCGCCAAGGATCTCATGGAGAAGAATGGGCGTACAGAACGAGAGGTCTTCGAGGTCAAGCAGCGGATGGACCGAGCCGAGCAGTCGAACAGGGCTCAAATAATTGATCACCAAACCAAGCTCGAAGCCTGGGTTTCCGCTGCCGAGGCCCGCGCCCCGTTTTTCGACATCACGAACATCGGCAGCTGGGGCCGTGAGCCTAACCCTGTCGCGTTATGGTGCGGTTGCGCTGTTCCCATGGCTGAAGCTGAGCTCCGCGTTCAACACGGTGGACCCCATCAAAAGGCATTCCTTCTCCGTCACTGGCGGTGCGCTGCTCGCCGAACCCCGACCTCGCAAGCCTCATGAATCGCTGCGCGTCGGCAAGGTCTGGCGGGAGTTCAACATTGCGGTTGGCGGTGCTACTCGTAATTTGTACGTCAGGGGCGACAAAAGCACCACGATGGCGCGGCGCGAAGTCCAAATCAGGAAGCTGTCCAAGATCCTGCAGTCCAAGGGATCTCGGCGACATCCACACCCACAGGCCCCAGGGGTACATATCGCGCAAGGGCGACGCGATTGTCCAGATCGTGGTGTGTGGGGGGGTATTGCCGAACATCCATCCTAAGTGCTACTAGGCGCTGGACAGAAGCTGGGCGCTCCACGGTCGAACCGACTCCCGACGCCAACGCGAGCGGCGTCAGTGTCTCGCTCTTTTTCTGCAACGCGCGGTGCCAGCCATGCAGGAGACGCACGGAGACCTCGAAGATATCGCGGTTCTGGCGGATTCGACCGACCATGGCTACGTCGCCCCCCACTCCCAGGTGCAGACCACACGCGCCAACCTGGACGAGTCACCGATCTTCTCCACCTCGGCTGGCGGCGTCGGCTTCCTCGTGCCCTGCGGCAAGGTCGAGCGAACCCGCCCGCCCGACGAGCGACCGCGCCGACGCTGCGAAGTCGTCGTTCCAGGGCGAGTGGCTCGGCTCAGAGTCGCAGACATACGCAGACACGCCGACGTGACCATCCTGAACGTACACGACCACGACCTCGCGCCCAGTGACCGTGCTGAGCTACGTTGTCACTTGCAGCTCATTCGAGACCATGCTGACGAGCGGCCCCGGGAGCGACTCCATCTCATGCTGGGAGAGTTCAGCATATCGGAGCGCCCGCCCAAGAGCCTCAACTACCCCGTCGACGCGGACACCGCGGCCGCCCAGCGCTACCAGTGCCGGCCCGGCTACGGGCGCACGCTGTTCAAGGACATGCTGAAAGTCACTGCGCTCTCGTCCACCAACAGGAATGCGTCGAGCATGTCCGAGTACTCGGAACCGATCGCCGGCTGCTTCCTCTCGTTGCCCGCCCGCTCGATGCCCGAAGTGGAGGCGCTGCTTGTTGCCGACGACGCTCCGCTGAAGGGCTCCAGAGGGCTGGGCAGCGACCGCAAGATCACGCGTATTCGCGCGCGCCCTCGTCAGCGACGCCCGCCGGATGAGCGCGACGCCCCGGCGTTCATTTTCGACCCGCCGCGCTGCAGGCGCCGCGTCGAGAAGATCTTGGCAGAGACCGACGTGACTCACGTGAAAGCGACGGCGAAATGGCAGGCACTGAAGGCATCCATGACTGGAGCTGCCAAGCGCAAGAGAGACGCCGCGCCCGCGATCGCCGCCGCCGAACTCGCTAGACAATCCGCCGACATCTCAAATGAGATGATTGCCATGACTCTCAGGAGCATGGCTCGAGAGATGCAGTATCCGGACGTGCGCCCGGCCAAAGCCGCGATCGCCCGAGCCGAGGCTGCCGCCTCCAACTTCCAGATCCTGAGCGGCGAGGTTGCCCCGATCGACCCGGCCACCCGCGAGGCGGAGACGGACTCGACTCGACCCGCGCCGCCCTCCTCGAGGAACGCCGAGGCCAAAGCTGCTGCCCATTCGCTGCACCGCTCGCGCGGAGTCCAAAGCCCAGTTGGGAGACCGCTGGCGACGAGAATCGCAACGGGAAGACGCGCAGCTGAACTGTGGAAACCCAGGGTTTCCAGACTTCGCTCTTGGCTCGGGCCGATAGGACGGATGGGGGTGCTGGCCCTCCGCCCCCTCGTCGTCGTTTTTTCTCCCCCCCTCGTCCTCGTCGCCCTCGTCGTCGTCGTCGTCGCCGTCGCTGCCCGCGCGGCCCCGTTGGCCCCATGCGCAGCAGAACAACGAGTCCCGAACGCAAGCCGGATCCATCCATTCACCGATCCTTCTCCAAACGCATCATTCTGAGGGGCAACAAGATAGCTGCAGGCTCGAAATACATAAATCTACCGAGGTTCCCCAACCCGGTTGGGAGGCGAGCTTGGGAGGGCAAATTCCCAACGCACTAGGTCGCGCGAACGCCAACATCACCTCCGACCCCGCCGCCATGCACACCGCCATCATGAACCACTGGGAGCCGATCTCTGCCGCCGAGAACGTTGACGATGCCGCCATCGCCGACTGCCTGCACTCCGTCTCAACGCAGCGACCCGAGCGTGGTCCACCTATCCCCGACCCCGAAAGCCTCGATCATACTGCCGAGCACGCGCGCGACTCAGCTCCTGGACCTGATCGTTTTCCTCACCGTGCTTGGCTGCATGCCCCACCAGCGTTCGCGGTGCTGGCGGGGCTGGCTAGCGGCATCTCCAGCTCCACCGCGTCCATGCCCCCATGCGACCTCAACTTCCCCCCCGTGGCCATGCCCCCAAGGCGACGAGCCCCTCGGCAACTCGCGGAGTGCACTCGCCCCCCAGATTGCTTCAGAATGCCATACATGAAGAACTCGGACGTCCAGCTCGCAGCATCGGCGGCCAACTGGTCCCTTCAGTCAGTTGCAGTCGACATTGCCATCGATCAGCAGGGCTTCGTCAATGGCCGCCAGTTTCTCACGAACGCGGCGCTCGTCGACTCGGAGGCCCGCCGACTCAGCATGTCGCCCACCCCGAGCGCCGACGTGCCATCATGCACATTGCTGCCGCGCTCCCGAGCTTGATCTCTCAGCGGCTATGGGCTGTCCTGCTCCGCCGGGGCATCGCCGGCCGCGCGGCGAAGTTGCTCCGCGCCTGCTGCTTCCTACCCGGGGCCTTCTTCGAGATGGGCGGAGCCCCGCGGCGCCCGCTCATCGCGGCGCCGGGCGCGGGGCAAGGCTGCCCGCTCAGCGGCGTAATCTGGGCGCTAGTCTTCGGCCCGTTCGCGCGCGCGCTCAGCTCTGGGCTGCAGGCCATCCAGCGCGGGCTCGTCAGTGCCTGCGCGGGCGACTTTGGCATTAGTCTGGCCTGATTGCGCGATCTTGCTCGGCTGGCCCCCCGCGCCATCGCCGCCGAGGCCCTCGCAGAACTCGGGATGAAGGCCAAGAAGTGCATATTCGTGCCGACCTGGGCCCTCCCCGACGCGACAGTCACCGACGAGCTCCGCATCATCCTGAAAGCTGCTCGCCCGCCCGGGCGCAGCTTCAAGCTCGAAACGATGGCGCGATATCTTGGATTCTTTGTTGGCAATGCGCTGCGCTGCTGGACCACCTGCAGGGGCCTTCGATGGAATGGTGGGATCGAAGCGGGTAGCTGCCGATCTCCCGCGCGCCCTTCCAGATGCGCATCAGACTGCGCCGCGTCGCTGCGCCATCGCGCGGCATCGAGACACTCCTCGCGGTCACAACGTGGAAAAACGGCCCGAGTCGCCACCACCAGCTGTAGATCCCTCGACACGCAGTTGTGCGACACTGCCAACGAAGAGCTGCCGATTCTGAGATTCCGCGGCAGGGCGTCGGTGCTCGAAGTGCTGGGCGCACCCCACCTCGATCGTGCAGCGGCCCCATGGCGTCCGCAACTCCGCGTTCGTTGTCAAGTGCAAGGGGCCCGCTTCCAAGAGGACGCTTCGCGCGGTCAACACATCTGTAAGTGCTCGCGGCGCACTTCAGGCTGCTCATAAACATGCTGCGCGACGCGGACTGCGCGCCATGCTCGACTCGAACTCCAACGAAATCGACCTACCCCAGAAGCAGCGCGCTCCGCAAAAGGCTTACTTGCTCGCCCTGCAGGAGAAGCTCTACACGGACGTCATGCACATCGCGATCAGGCGCTGCCTCCTGTCCTGGTTCCCCGAAGGGCCTGGTGATCAACTGGCGCGCCGGCCTTGCGATCGTGCGCGAGCAACTTCAGAAGATGCTCGGGGTCGTCTTCAGCGCCGCGCTACCGCTCGGGCTGCTCGCTGGTTTCCTGACCTCTTCCTCGACGCGCGCGGATTCGACGGCGAGCGGGACTGGATGAAATGGTGCGAGACCTAGGCGTCTGGCGCTCTGCTGCGCGACGACACGCAGCCGCTCTGCGAGACTCCTGCCCAAAGCCGACAGCTCGCGCGCGACATGGGTCGTCAAGCCTGGCAGGATGGAGCCTTTGGCCGTCGCCTTCTCGAGTTTCGTCTCCTCGGCAGTGCTGGCCCTCGACTTGCTGGCGCGCGCGATCAAGCCGCTCACCGCGCCGACCTGGCTGCCGAGCATCGTGCGCGGCGCCGCTAAATCGAGCAGAACAAGCGGATCCTGCCCGCGGAGGAGGGCGCGGAGGACGCCACAATCAGCGACGACATGGACGACGAGGAGCCCGACCTCATCAGCATCTCCTCGATACTTGCTTACCTGCGTGGCCGCTAGGTGAAGCTGCGCGCGCACCTCGCCACGCTCCCCCCTGCGCGCCTGTGGGCATCTCTGAAATCCCTCTCGGGAGCGTGGACGACGTCGCATCGGATGCACGCCCGGGCCACGAAGCGCAGCTGCCACTTCGGCCGCGACGCTCCCGACGCGATGGGCCACTACCTGGTGCGCGCCAGAATGATGCATCACATGGCGAAGCCCCGAGGCTCCATCGCGCTTGGCGTCTTGGAGCGTCTGGGACTGGGCACCGACCAGCCGTGCGACGGCTAGAACGGCATCAGGAGCGCGATGGCGAGGACCAATGTCGCGCGCAGGGCGTACCACTTTGCCACGAGCTGCGGGAGGCGCGCTTCGCCCCCACACGTAGCGCCAGCAACGAGGAAAGCGGCCTCCAGCTTGCACAGGGGGAACGAAGCGGATCGTCCGCTTCAAGAGTACGTTCCCTCTTCCTCATCCTCCTCCTCTTCCTCCTCCCCCTCCTCCTCCTCCTCCTCCTCCTCCTCCTCCTCCTCCTCCTCCTCTTGGCATCTAACGCCATTATTCGTTCGTGACATGAGCCTCCTGATCTCTCGGCTCCCAGCGCCACCCTTCAGATCGGATTGTCATCCCGTGCCGCTTCTGATAGCGCCCAACCCCGAAACGGTTTTTCAGAAACCCAAATCGAGGAACAAGTGTCCATCTCTACCTTGTCTGGCCCACCTCCCTGCTCGGCCTTTTCCCCCCGTGCTTTCCTGAAAGGCCAAGCGGGTGGCCGTCTGCGAAGGCGTTGGGGTTCTTAGATCAGAACCCCTTCTGCCCTCTACAGGCCTTCTTCGAAGCCTCAGGTCCCCTCAGCAGTCACCCTGCCTTCTTAGAAGGTCGCCCCCCCTCGCACCACCTCCGGTCGTGCCTCGTGAGAGAAACCGCCGTTGAGGAAAGCGCGCCGAGGTGAATAAGCGGTGGGGAAAATCAGGAGGGGAAAAAACACACAGACACAAGTAATCGTCCACTCCCGGGAAAATATGGGAAAATATGGGAAGTGGGGGGGGGAAGGCAAAAACCAAGAAAATATATGAAAATATGGGGAATACTTGTATTTGTGTGTATATATTTGTGTGTCCCAGGGCCCCTTCAGAAAAGCCCGTGGGGAAACGCAGCGCAGCTGGGAAGCCGCATCGGGAGCTGGGAAGCCGCGTCGGGGACAGACAAGTTCTGTTGCGTAGGCGGCTCATGGCGAGACCGGGGCCGCCGGACCAAGCCCGCTGGGCCGCCAGCCGCGGCGGCGTTGCTTTGCCTGCTTCTGCTGCTGCCTCCTCCTCTCCCTCCTCCCTCCTCCTCCTCCTCGTCCTCCTCCTCCAGCTCCTCCTCCAGCTCCTCCTCCTCCTCCTCCTCCTCCTCCTCCTCCTCCTCCTCCTCCTCTTCCCATCCCCGCCCCCCATTAACTTTCCCCCACGCTCGCCTTGGCCACGGGGCGTCCTTCCAGCGGTTGCGCGCGTGCGCGCCGTCAATCGTCCTCTTCCTGCCCCACTTCCCCCCGCAGGATGCGCAAGGACGAGGAAAAGGCAGAAGAGGAGTGAGGAGGAGAAGGAGGAGGAGGAGGAGGTCGGGATGATGGTCGCTTCGAAAGTCTGCGGCCCAGAGCTGTCCAAGCCCCGCCTGCCCCCCACAGTGAAAACCACCTCTACCGCACGTTCGCATGACAAATCCAGGACGGGCGGGATTTCAAATTTACAGCGGTACGTGCCGTATGTACGCTTTCGGTTCATTGTGTACTGCTCGCATCGCAGGCATTCATGCGCACCACATCCTCCACGAGCGGCCACGTGGCATGGCTGGGGCCACGGACACTCCAGGGGGGGCACCCACCGACAAGCCACGCCCGCGGCGACACCAGCAAGGGCACCAGCATTTAGGGCGCACGGGGCCTCTCCTGGTGCCCCGCTCCTTCCGCCGCCGCCGTCTCTTCCAGTTCCACAATTATCGGGGATGGACAGACCCCCCTTTAGTACAACGTGGTTTAGTGGAAACGACCTGAGGCCCAAACCTGGCGGGCGGAAGCCTGTAAAATAACGGCCACGGCACCCTCTCGAGAACCGAAAACGGACAATTCACTAATCGACGTGTCACTGTTGGGGGTTCTGTCCACCCCCGAAATTAAGCAATCTGAATACTACTCCCCTCTCTCCCCTGGTGACCGGGAATTGGCCGGCCCCCCTCCGCGTATGGGTTCGTGGATCTCTTGCGCCAGAGGTGCGCTCCCCGCTTCGGGGCGTCGCCACGCCATGCTATGTCAGGCTACGCGTCCTCATTTCCGCGCTTGCGCGCTTGGTTTGTTTCAAAATGCTGCTCTGTCTGAAGCGCTGGCCTCATTTTCGGGCTACCGCTCGTTCCGAATCGTGCTCCCGCTGCAGCGCTGGCGTCATTTCCGCGCTTCCGCTACTTCCGAATCGTGCTCCCGCTGCAGCGCTGGCGTCATCCAGCGCCGTGCCATGGCATGGTTTTCGGTCCTCCCAAATGGCCCGCAAATCTAGAAAATGCCCCCCAAGAAACAACCATCGGAAGTGATTACACATTCGATGTTCTCTTGCGCCGGAGATGCCCTCCCCACTTTGGGGCGTCGCCACGTCATGCTATGTCAGGCTACGCGTCCTCATTTTCGCGCTTCCGCGCTTGGTTTGTTTCAGAATGCGGCTCTCGCTGAAGTGCTGGCCTCATGTTCGGGCTACCGCTCGTTCCGAATCGTGCTCCCGCTTCAGCGCTGGCCTCGTTTCCGCGCTTCCGTTCGTTCCGAATCGTGCTCCCGCTGCAGCGCTGGCGTCATTATTTCCAGTGCCATGCCACGGCATGGTTTTCGGTCCTTCCAAACAGACCCCAACATCTAAAACATGGCCTCCCGAAGAAACCATCGGAAGTGATTACACATTCGGTGCCGATTATTTGATTTCTTGCGCCGCAGAATGCCCCCCTCATTTTGGGGCGTGGCCACGCCATACTATGTCAGGCTACACGTTAATATTCAACACCATGCGATGCCATGTAATGCTACGCCATGCTACGACATCCGATTGTGCGAGTAGGGAGGATATCTGCGCCATGTTAAGGGATGGGAGGGAGGGGTAGGACGTCAGATATGACGCGAGCGCACCTAGCTTGACATCCCCCTCCCTCTTCCCCTCCCCCTCCCAGTTCCCTTCCAGTTCCCCCCTCCCAGTTCCCTTCCTTCCAGGTGTCCCCTTCCAGTTCCCCCCTCCCGTCCCCCCTTCCAGTTCCCTTCCAGCTCCCCCTTCCCCTCCCCTCTCCTCCCCTCCCCTCCCAACGGAGGCTCCGCCGAGCTCCCAAGTAAGCTCCTTGCTTGGGCCCCCCGGAGTTCCCGATTGAAGTTTTTACAAGTTCACAGGTGTCTCAAGCTTTGGGCCTATCCGTGTCCCCCTGGTGGCACGAAGCACTAAGGAACCCGAGAGTTCTGCACACCGACCATCTTTTCTTAGAGCCTGAAATCCACAGGTCAAATGTCCCGGCGTGGCCGCAGGAGGCGCATCCAAGCCGCGAGATCTTCAGACGATGCAGGGAAACGGTCAGGGAGGCGAGGAAGGCCCAAGATTGTAACAGGAGATTTTTCTGGCGGCCAACAACGGCCCAAGATGGCCCCAGAGGGTCCCAAGGAGCCCGAAGACGGCCCAAAAGTGCCCCAAGAGGCCCCCGACCAAAACAACCCAACAGGACCCGAAGACAGGCCCAAAATTGCTCAAGATGGCCACATGAGAGCCCCAAGAAGGACAATGAAGAGGAGAAGGCAGGGGAGGTGGAAGAGGGGGAGGACGGAAAAACGGAAAGCGAGGTGGAGGACGACGACGAGGAGAAATACAAGGAAAGAAACCCCGACACGACGTGGAAAAGCACGTCGCATGTTACGGCTACCGCTCGCCAGCACCACAAGCAACACACCAAACCACATCTGCCCGTTCTAAGATGTGTGCCACGATTTCCGGTCACGGTGGCTTCTTGTGTGGTTCCTTCGAGTGTTGCTAGAAGTGCCCTTGGCCCGAGGCGTCCCCAGCTTTTCGTTACATTTTGGATCCCTGGAGGCCCTCTGGGCCTCGTCAGGGGGGCCCTGGAGGCCATTTGGGCCACCCCGAAAATCCTGGGGGTACCTTGGGCAGGGGCACTTCTACAGCACCCGACTTCTTCCCCGGCGAGCCCCGGGCCGAGGCCGTGGGAGGCGATCCGCGCGCTGCGCAGCGCCAGCGCCGGGGGCGAGCCGACCACCAAGTTGGGCTTCGAGGTGCGGCGACGACGGCGGCGACGGCGACCCGCGGCTGCCGCGTTCGCCGCGGCCGCGGCCACGTCGCCGCCGCCTGCGACTGCCGCGGCGGAGGCGGCGGCGACGAAGACGAGGGGATGAAGCAAACAGGTTTTGGTATATCGGAACGAGGAATGCACTACTGTGACAGTGTGATCACACCAATACCGAGGTGTGGCAAGAAAGGCCATCACCAAGAATACGAAATAGGCATTGGAGCTGAACTGATGAGAACGGCCCGTAGAACACAGAGTCGAACATCGCACCAATGGCAACAGTCACAGCACAACGAACAGTAGCAACAATGGCAACGATCATGTCACAACAAACAGTCAACACCGCAATGCGAGGAGTGTTCGCAATCATGGAACTGCTAGTCATGGTAGTGCCGATGAAAGGCTGCGGGTGCTGAGAGCAAATCCGATAGAGGACATGTGAAACCGATGCGCCCGCCTCCCCTCAGCCTCCCTGTCGGCTGCAAGCAGGTCTACGAGGGACTGGGGGCAGGGGCCTCCCGAGGGCCAGCGGGCGCCACCTCGGGCCACTCACCGGGCCTACCGCTGGCCTTCTGGAGCCCAGGGGCCCTCCCCGAGGGAGGGGGCCCTGGCTCGGGGGGCCTCGGCCGGCTACCTCGCCGATCCCGGCCCCTCCCCGGGCCCGGCACTGGTGCCCGCGCCCTGCCGGCCCGGCCAGGACGCGGCGTGTGCGCGGCTCCCGGGTCCCGGACGGGAGGGACGACGACGACGACGACGACGACGACGACGACGACGACGACGACGACGACGACGACGACGAGGTGGCCAGCTGGCGCCCCCCGAGCCGGGGCCATGGCCTGCCCAGTCGAGCCGTGCCCGGGCTCCGACTGGGGCGCGCGCGGGGGGCCGCTCCCGCTCGGCGGGCCCCGCGGCCGCCCCCCGCCCGGGCGACGGCGGCGCTCCGCGGGGTCGGCCGCTGGCCCTCGCCGCACGTCGCCGAGGGGCGGCCGCCGCCCAAGACCCCCTCGCGTCGTGGAAAAATCACGGCGGGAGGTTTTTCGCTATTTTCGGCCTCCGGGGGCCCTTCCCGGGCCTCGGGGCCGTCAAAGAACGGCTCGGGATGAGAAGCCGGTCCCGGGGGAAGGGTCCAGACTGCCGGGGGTCGACGCTGTGAAAAAAACGCGGCGTCGGGGGTCTGGGGCCGCCGCCCGCCCGGCGCGGCGTGCGCATGGAGGCGTCGGCAGGGCGCGCGCGCCGGGCCCGCGGTGGCAGCGGCGTGGTGGGCTTCCTGCTTCGACTGCGCGTAGAAGGGTGGCCCTTCGCCGGAGTAGCCTCTGGTGCGGGCCCACTGTCGGAGGGTACCAACTATACACCAACACCGATCCTGGCCAGGATCACTCTGGGCTCAGGATCGGTGTATATGCCTTCTTTTCCAAGGCAGGAGGGCGTATACACCGATCCTGGGCCCAGGGTGATCCTGGCCAGGATCGGTGTTGGTGTATAGTTGGTGCCCCCCTACACTGGGATGCCCCGATCGCCGAGCGCGCTGCGATAGCAGCGCGTTGCGCGCCTGTGCTTGGTCACCCCGCGGCCCCCAAAAGGCCGCGCACCAAGGGTCGCTCTTACCTATGGGTCACTCTTGCGTGTAGCCGACTGTTGCTTCCTGTGCACTCTGGGTCGCCATCGGAGGGCCTCGTCGCCATGGCCAAGCTCGCTTCGGGAGTGTGGTCGGGGCGCGCGCGGGGGGAGCGCGCAGGAGGAGTCTGCGGGAGGCGGTGTTGGACCCCCCCCCGGCAGGAGGGCCGTGCTGTCTCGGCGCAGTGACAGCGCGGGCGCGCGGGGATCGTTCAGGGTTGGGCAGCTCATGCGGTGCAGAAGCCAGAGCCGATGCTGCGCTGTGGCGAAGTCCACCCACAGTTGGCCAATAGGGGTCCCAAGGCGGCTCCGAACTATTTTCAACAAGCGCACCCCTCGAGGCCCCTGCCGCGCCCCGACCCTCGCCGCGTCTGCCCTTGCCCCCCCCCGCCCCTCCAGCGCCCACCTCGGGACCTCTCTCCTCACGAGCTCCCCGCCCGGTCATTTCTCGCCCGGACTCCACTCCGACCCCTGCCGCGTCTGCCCCCCCCCCCCCACTCCTTCAGCGCACGCCTCGGGATTTCTGTTCTTAGGACCCCCCGCCCAGCAATTTCCCGCCCCGGCCCCCGCCGCGCGCGATCCCCTCGCCCCGCCCCTCTCACCTCTCCAGCGCGCCCCTTGGGACCTCTGTTCCTGGGTCGCCCGCTTCGCCCCCCATCCTCCTCCCGCTCCCTCTGCAGTGCTCAGCGCTGTCGGCGGACGGTGGGGCGCTGGCGGGGGTGGCCGCGCGCAGAGTGGGAGCAAACACCGCTCCGAGCTCGTGGGCGAGCCGAAGTTCGACTTCTACGTCTACACCGAGTCGGACCTCCGGGCCGTTCATGGCGAGGGGTGGGCGGGTCCCGCGGGGGCGGGGGCGGAGGGGGGCGCACTGCACGGGCCGGGGGAGGGCGGTGGGCGCCGGGGGGGCCGCGACCCGACGGAGGTGGTGCAGAGGTGGCGGGGAGGGAGGCAGGGAGGGGGGCGGGGAGGGAGGGATGGGGGAGGGAGGCAGGGGAGGGAGGCGGGGAGGCAGGGAGGCCAGGAGGGAGGGAGAGAGGGGAGGGAGGGAGGCAGGGCGGGACGGGCTCGCTCAGGTCCACGGCGGTGTTTGGGGATCGCCGGGTGGATCCACGAGTTTCGAGGTCACATGGAGGACGACGCTGCTCGTCGCCGGCCGCACCCCGGTAGTTCGGTGGAGTTGCGCGCAGCGCTGGAATTCTAGACGCTTCGCGTAACCCACCAGCCTCCGTAGCCTTGGCTCAAGGCCGTCTGGTGGGCCTGCCCTTTCTTGGGCAGTCTCCCACCACTCAAGGGGGCGCCCGGACGCCGCGCCGCTCCCCCCGCCCCAGGACCGCGCCGTACTCCACTCGCGGTGGCATCCCTCGCGGTCAACAGCGCCGGCAGCGCCGGCAGCCCAGACGAATGCTTGATCCGCCAGATGAAAGGGAAGACGGTATAGATCGTGCAGTGCATGGTTCGGGAGACCAACCACTGCTATCGATCGAGCCACTGTCCCCCCACATGGAGCAACCCTCGCCCACAGGCGTGGCAGAGACAGCGGATCTTGCGACGAATCCAGCCCAGATCCCAGTCCCCCCGACGCCTCCCCCCTCCCCACGAAGGGGGACAGTCAGCCCACTTGGGGCCCGAACTGTAGGTGTTGTCCAGTCCTCCGCGGCTGGAAATGAGGCCCTAGGACATGCCCGTGGGGCGGTGGTGGAAGGATATTCAGCTGAAGATCGTGCTGTATACATAGAGGGAGGCGACGCATTCCCCCCGCCTGCGGTGACAGAAGACCCTCCAAAGGCCCACGCCGAGAGAGCCATCCCAGATAACCCGACCTGCCCAACGCGCACGCCCATCGCCGACCCCTCCCTCTCCTCTTTCAATTTACCAGATCTTGCGGCTATCGGCTGCGCCCCCTCCTCTCCTCTTCCTCCTACCGCGCAGGGCACTCTCACAACGTCACCGGCGGCTGGAAGCGAGACCCAGGGACTTGCTCGTGGGGCAGTGATGGAAGGATTACCAGACGTTGATCGGGCCATATCCAGACAGAGAGGCAACACATCCCCCCCATCAGTGGTGACAGAAGGCCCTCCACATGTCCACGCGGAAAGAACAATCCCAGATGACTCGACCGGCCCCATGAGAGCAAACACCGCCGATCCCTCCCTCTCCTCCTTCAATTTACCAGATCTTGCGGCTATCGGCTGCGCCTCCTCCCCTCCTCCTCCTCCTCCTACTGCGCAGGGCACTCTCGCACCTTCCCCCGCGGCGGGAAGCGACGCCCTGGGGCGCACCTGCGGGGCGGTGGTCGCAGGATTACCAGGCGAAGATCGAGCTGCATCCAGAGAGGGAGGCAACACAATCCCCCCGCCAGTGATGACAGAGGACCCTCCACAGCCCCATGCGGAAAGAGCAACCACAGAGGATTCGACCTGCCCCACGCGAGCGCACATCGCCGACCCCTCCCTCCCCTCCTTCAGTTTACCAGATCTTGCGGCTATCGGCTGCGCCTCCTCCTCCCCTCGTCTTCCTACGGCGCAGGGCACAACGGTGAGCAGTTCCCCCCACACAGTGCCGGAATAACATACTCAGGCAGAGGCTGAGGCAGACGACTCGGGCCACCTTGCGCGGGCACACAGACCAAACTCCTCTCCCCACTCCTTCAATTCACCAGATTCTGCGGCTATCGGCTGCGCCTCCCCTCCTCCTCCTCATCACAACACGCAGGGTGCACTGCCAGCTGCCCACGAACGTTCCCCCAATCCGGCCACAGATGCATCCGAAATGGCACCTGGTGACAACCCCCCAGCCCAGGACAGTGCACAGAGGGCTGAGTCTAACAGTGGTAGGCGGACAGACGATCCCACAGGTAGGCTCCAAGGTGCAGCATTGGCTCCCCCGTGCGGCCAAGGAGGAAGCCGGGCAGAGGGACGCCGACGGGGCCTCCTCACAGACACAGGACCCCCCAGCCCCCGCGGACGAGGTGGATACTGCACACAGCAGCACGCAGGAGGCGTTACCCCCCGATCCGACAGAGCCCCCCAACGGAGGCGGGATCGTGCCCCCCGCCGGCAGCCCCCCCGCCCTTCCACATGATCCGACCACGGCCTTCCCGAACTCGCTGCCCAGGAATGGCACGGCAGAAGACATTGAAATATCCCCCACCGCGCCGTTCGACCCGATCGGAGGCGGCTTGAGCAGCAGGCAGCAGCAACACACGGAGGCGGAGTACGCTGCGAGGACGGGGATGGACGTCGCAGGGGATCCGCTCCCGAGTGAAGGCGAACACGGAGACAACATCCCAGGTGACGAAGGGTCGCACGATTGGGAGGACGATGAGGAGATCAGCGTCGGACCGGACGCTCGCGAACCTGACAGCCCGATCTCCCCCTCTTCGGGTCTCTCGCCCGCCCCCCCACCCGGCTCAAGGTCGCGCAGCTCGGGAAGGCGGGAGGCCGCGCTCAGGCATGGGGGGCACGCGCCACAGCTCAGACCCCCCCACCACCATCCAGACGAGGGGCGTCGCGCGACACCGACGCGCCCCTCCTGGCCCCAAGAGTCGCGGGCCCCAGGTGCACCATGAGAGGGGGCCCACTCGCCGCCCTCCTGGAACAACGCGAACCTAGAGAAGGGCCATGGAGAAGCATCCCCAGGTGCCCCCCTCGCAGCCAGTCCATGCGCGAGGGACTTGTGGACCTAGTTAGTCTCTGCTGGCTCCGTCACCCCCCAGGAAGCAACGTAGGCCCCTTCGCGGCAGGGGGAAGCAACCGCCCTCACAGGGCAAGCCAGAGCCACACTAGGCAGGCAGAGCAGGGAACCACAGGAAGACTCCACAGCCGTGCCTCGGCGATGGCAGAGCTGGACCTCCTCCTGGCTGGTCTGGTCAATCACAGGATCCGATCATGAGGCCAGGCTCGGTGGGGTGGGGCCGGATCCAGTTCAGGTGCTTGCCTTCCGCTACGCGAGCCTGTCGCAAGACCCCGACATCGAAACGGAGATCCAGGGCTCCGACGAACCAACGCAGGAAGAAATCATGGCGGCCGAAAGGCAGTACGATATACTGCGCCATGCGGCCCTCTACGCGGACATTGGAGTGAGTGACCCATCAGAGGGCCTCTTCCCCCCGACTCTTCTCGGGCTGTCCAGGTGGCGACGCGACCCCGCCCCAGAGGTGACTGACGCAAACTCTGAACGCAGGTCCAGACTGTGCAGACACTTGATCCATGAGCACCGCAGCAACGCTGTACACTTTCCAGATCACCACGAAGTCAGGCAGTGGGCTATTAGTAGGGGGCGCTGGGTCGATGCAGGGGCGGACGTCCTCTCCTCGGCACAGTGCGGCACGGGCCAGGATGGCTGGGCCACCCCCGCCATCCCCAGCGCAGGGCCGCAGACTCCAGGCATGGGAAGACCCGGGCGCTCCGAAGGCAGCAACCCGGAGGGGCCCTGGCCCATCAACAGCACCTCGCACATGATAAGATTTGGAGATTTCTTTCACCCCAGCAACAGATGCGGACACTGCGGCTGCTGGAACACACGTCAGGACATCCCCAGTTGCATCGTGCGCCGCACGCTAGCATCCCCATGGGTTACCCCCACGGACGGGCCACGCCCAGACAACCTCGAAGCCCCCAGACACCCTCTGGACCTACTAGGTACACGGCTCACCCTCCAACTGGCCAGAGCGGGGGCTCGGTATGCACCCATCACAAGCCACGGAGGCGCCCACAACCATCCGCCAGAGGCCACCAGTTACTCCCCGTCATGGCTGATCGCTGAGTTACTCGCAGCATGAGGCCACATGACGGATGCAGCATTGGAAAGTGGCAGGGCTGCAGACGTTGGAGCATACCCGCCCTCAGCGGGCGACGCAGGAATATGGGGCGAGCCGGCATATAGGGCCGCCGCTGGTTCCCTGGCCAGACTCTGCTGTGCCCCGATGGGATGGGCCATGGAAACGTTGTCACAAATACAGCACACCATCAGGGAGCATCCCTTCGGCAGACAACTACGCGATTGGGTGCCCAGATGCCTTGCCCAAATCCCCACTGTGGCCATGCCGGCTCAACCCCGAGCCTCGGCAAACCCCGCGCGCAATGCGCAGGGCCCGAGAGCAAGGTATCGGCGATGCTTCGAAAGCCTCCCTACTGAAGACGTGGAGTGGCTCCGACGAGAAGTAGGATGTGCGTTCATAGGCCAGGTTCTCTCCATCACCCCAGCAGACAGGGCCTGGGCAACGGACGCGAGCGCCGAAGCGACAGAAGCGACAGAGGTGGCCTGCGAGGCCATCATCGCGGCCGCCAGAAGCAATGGAATAATCATAGCTCACCGTCTGGCACCTGGCAGCCCGTGCGGAGAGGCGATGCGCCTAGCAATCGCATTGCGTACAAGGGCGAGAGGGTTGGGTGCCCGGGTGGCCCGAGGGGACGACCAGCGGGACATGAGGAGAGAGGAGAATGAGGCACATGCGTCCTACAGGCCAAGGCGCAGCCCGACCACCCAGCCCCCCCCTGGAAATGAGGGTAACGCACGACGTGCACTGCAGGAGATCCGCGAGATCCGCACGCAGGTGGCGAACGACACCCTACCCCCCAACATGACATGGAGCCGACTTCTGGTTCCCTTTATCTGGGGGCACAGCGACAGAATACGGAAGGGCAACGCTCGAGCATGTCGTTGCAGCCACGGGAATCCCACGCCCCCTCGTCAGGCGCGCGGCCGAGCGATGGCAGCAGACGGGCGTCACCTCATCCGAAGGGGCGCACCGCAGACTTGGACTGGCAGCAGCTACCCTGGCTCGGCAGACCAGAAGA